CTTTACCCATGACTTCGTATCATTACTACAGGTTTTCCTTGGTGGTGCTGTGTGTATACATGTTTGTTTGTGTGTGTGTTTTAATTTCTTTGGGTGAAGATGCCATAATTAGACTTACCCCAAGAAGCTCAGTTTAACTTGAATGCATCCCTACTTTCAAATGCTGTCATACTTTGAAGTACTGGGGAGTGTTAGGAAGATATGATTCATTTCATAATATCTTAGGACCTCTCCATACTCTGTCCCATTATCCTCAAAGGAGTCTGTATACTGGAACTTATCACCAGGAGCACCAATTCTATAAAGAGTATTTCCTTGGGCTGGAGAGATAGTAGAGCATACAGGGCATTTGTCTTGTATCACACAAATCCAGGTTCAATTCAGGGCATCCCATAAGGTCCCTGGAGCATCACCAGGAGTGATTTCTGAGTGCAAAGCCAGGAGTAACCCCAGTGCACTGCTTAGTGTGGCCCAAAACCCAAAAAACAAAAAAAAAGCATTTCCCTGTCTCCTCAGGTCAACAAATGGTAGTACCTGGTAGCAAATGGTCTGATTTCCCACTAGCTATGACAGGAACCAGCCCTGCCTGTGAACATGCTAGGCTGAAAATGGACAAACTGCCTCCCCAGAGAACCTCACCCAATGACTGATGAATAGCAGAATACTGGTGCATTTACGCTGTTGTCTTCTAAAATTCCCTAGCAGGATTAAATCATGGGTACATATTTTTCTTTTAAATAAAACTTCTTTCCCTTGTCTATTCCAGTGTTTCTCAATTGGGAACCACATGACTCCCTATCACTTCCCTGGGATATCCCAAGGGGGCTACAGGTAAATATCACATGAATGAGAGGTCACATTATGAGACTAGGGTCCAACTGGTAGGATGAGGAACAACAGGAAGGTAATAAGGTCCGGAGTGAGTAATGGATGAAAAAAAAATAAGAATGAGAAAACATCTTGCAAAAATGTCAGGTTTTACATATCCAAGTTTTGGGGGGAAATAAATTCTAAAGTCATTGCTCTTGGAGCCAAAGACCAAATGCATTTGTTGGGAAATCATCTAATTTCTTCATGTTTCTCTATCCTATGAGTGCCAAATAGGCATAATACCTATTCCTTAGGGTTTAAGAGAAATTTGAAATTACATTAGAAAATTTTTGACACTTAGAAGGATCTCAACTGTATTTGTTGAATGCCAATATAATTTATGTAGACTAACTACTCATTCTCATTTTCATGTTTATGAAAATGACCTGTACACAGAGATTGCACATAAATTGGAATTTAATACCTTCTAGGCCAATGAAACTATTATTGAAATGAGATTTCTCAGTTGGAGTTTACATTGTAATTATATATTTCATGGTAACTATTTCCTCAAAATACTCTGCTCTTGAGTTTTTGGGTATTTCCCCACAAGTTCTGGTTTTAAAAATAGTGTTAATTTTCATAAGTCTCTTTAAAAATTACTTTAAAATAATACCAGAGAGCTGCGTATATGAATCAATGGTAAAGTGCGTGCTCTGCATGTGTCAGACCTGGGTTTGGTCCCCAGTATCACATGGTTCCCCAAGCACTACCAGATATTGACCCCTACCCCTCATTCCCTAAATAAGGTCGGCCCATAAACCCAGGAACAATGTACTCATAGCTCAGGGTAGATAGTGGCCCTCCCAACAATGTCCACATTCTAATCTCTGAAATATGTGCAGTTACTTTCTGTGACAAAGAGTTTGCAAATATGATGAAATTATGGATCTTGTGATAGGTAGATCATTTTTGAACTATCTGGGTGGACCTGGTAGAATCACAAGGGTTCTGAGAAGATGATGACTGAGAGGCAAAGAAAAGTGGAAAAGGAAGATGAGATTGGAGTGAGCAACCACAAGACAAGGACTTTTAGAAGCCTCTAGAAGTTGTAAAAGAAAGGGAGTGGATTCTCCCTGGAAGCTCTAGAACAAACCAGGCCTGTCACCTTAATTTTATCCCCATAAGATTCATTTTGAACTTTTAGAGCTGTAAAAGAACAAATGTGTATCATTTTAAGTAACCATGTTTGTGGAAAATTATTACAATAAGATTTCCTTAATAGAATTCAGAGACAAATCAGTTCTCAATGTGGAGCATGGTTTGCAGGAAGTAGTCCTCTGTTCCCGAATACAGGCCCTCCACACGAATCTGTCATTTCTTTCCTCTCATCATAGTTTTACCTGAACTCAATAGAAGAAAACATGGATAATGTGGAAAGCATGGATACACATTTTTATTGGTGTTGTTTTTTTTCTGGTATTTGTGCAATACCCACCAGTGCTAAGGACTTGCCCCTGGCTCTGCCCTCAGAAATTACTCCTGGCCTGGGACTGAAATTGGGCCAGTCACATGCAAAGCAAATGCCTTACTGGTTGCACTATCTCTCCCTTAATAGAAACTATTATAAATAGGGAGTTACTTGCTCCAAACTTGAGTTTAAAGAAAAAACAAATTTATAACTTTTTTTTCCTAATGTGCCCAAGGAAAAAAAGCTTTCCATGCTAGACCTTGGAACACAGTTCAAATTAATAAATGTTCTTGACTGGTACTATTCAACAGAAATATAATGGCCATGTATGGCATTTAAATTTTTGGGGTATCCACATTTAAAAAACTATGAGGTAAAGAGGTGAAATTTATTTTAGCAGTGTATTTGAATTGAAGGCAGCATACTCACAATAGAATTTAAACTTGTCAAATGATTAGTGCCACATTTCACTTCTTTTTTCCATGTAAAACCTTGGAAATCCAATGTGGATTTGCTACACACAGTACAACTCATCTTGAACTGGTCACACAGCCAGTGCTCAGTTGTTACTTGGGCTGGTGATTCCTATTAATTGCACTGGACACAGCAAGTCTAGAATCCAAAGTGACAATAAAACAGAGAGATATAGAGCTTGCACCAAATGTTGATAGCTATGAATGGGAGATGCATGCTACTAATGATGTCTTCATTTGATGAGTGTTCTTTGTCTATTATGCTCCAGCATCATTTAAGAAGGTACCAGTTTTAAAGTCGCTAATATTACAGTACTGTGCTTCCATTGGAGAAAATCCCCCTAACTGGTGCTTATATTAAAAATCTCTACATAGTGGTTACAATTTGTCGTTGCTTTTTTTTCTTTTTGGGTCACACTCAGTGATGCTCATAGGTTTCTCCTGGCTCTTCACTCAGGAATTACTCCTGGTGGTGCTCGGGGGGGGGGGGGGCATATGGGATGCTGGGGATCGAATCCAGTTTGACTGCGTGCAAGGCAAGTGCCCTACCCGCTGTACTACCACTCCGGCCCCAGTGGTTACAATTTGTACTGAAGATATGAAGCCTTAGGAAATGACCAGTGGACACCCGTTCCCATGCTGAGAGTCTCGTCTTCCATAAATGTGGCATCAGGAATGTGGAGTCTGGAGCTGATTAAATAGGGTTTCTGGGCAAAGCCTGAAGAGTCAACCCTTGACATTTCCAGGCTTGTGGAGCAGAGAGATAATCAAAGAACGCCTGGAACCTGATCCCATGTCAAGAAATCACGTTTCGCATCTTGAAAACTGCAGAATCTCAGCTTCTTGACACGGCTTCTCCATTTTAATATACTTCGGTTTATGCAGGGGCTTTTCAGATTCTAATTTAATTTGGTGGGGCTTTGAAAGCGAAGCTCCTGGAGGTCGGTTTGCCGACTAAGAAAGAACTATTAATCAAATCTCTAAATAGCGTTTGGTCTTTCTGAAGTGGGCTTCCTAGCAATACAAGAATCTCCAACGTGCAAGGAAAATATGATTATGAGCAAATTGCATCTGCTTACATTTTTATCATGAAAAGGAAATTGAAACTTGCCATCAGACATTTGCTGAACTGGTTTGAAGTTGGTTCTGTTTGAACTTCCAAATCCGTTAATACTATGACTAGCTCTGATTGAATGATTCCCCCCCCCCCCCAAGTCAGAATCAGGCTTACCTCTAAGATGTCTTGCACCAAACGAAACTTTTTGCCTGTCCTTCCCAGGAACTAAGCTATGTTCCTTAAAACATCCTGAAACATCGCAGTAGTGCTGTATTTCTCTCAGCTGCTGTGGGGGATGGGGATTCAACAGTGTCCCGGGTCACGTTTGGGGGCGGTTGCATGGGGAAGCCACAGATGCTGCATAAAGTCTACAGCACAGGAGTCGGCGTCCAGTGCCCCAGTAACTGTCCAGCCCAGCCCCAGGGTCAGTAACGCCCGAGCACAGAAATTTGCTGGAGGGGACACCTTGAAGGCGAAACATGCTGTGGGACCAGCAGGAGCCCCGCAGGGCCGTGGGGTCCCTGAGGCTACCCCCGTGCGCTGCGAAGAGCAGAGTCCTGGCCACACGGCCAGGTGCCCACGGTGCCATCACTGTCGCGCGCCTTATCCCCTCTGTGCACCCTTCTGTGCAGCAGGAGGCGACGAGCCCCTGTTGCAAGGAGCGACTCGGGGGTCCTGACGCGGTTCCTGGTCCTCAGGAGCTGAGCAGCGGGCTGAATCCATATGCTGCGACAGTCGCGTCCTTTCTGTCGCGTTCCTCAGTCCCAGTGAGAAAGGCACTGGGTCGAGCAACCCTCCTTCTGGCCAGCTCTGCCCAGCCCGTGCACACGCCGTCATCCTCTTTCCGACTCAATTCCCCAGGAAAACCGGAGACTGACAGTGGCTGTCCTCAGAACGGGACAGTTGCACCCACCCGGCTCTCACCCGGCCACCCACCCACCAGAGCCCGCCGTATATGCCCGCAGACCATCACTTAGGAGCGCGCCCACCGGCTGCACGCAGAGTCTACCCTTCCCGGTCACGCGTGCCAGGCGAGGACCGCGGAGATGGGCGCACAGGGGCGCGGAGAGGGGAGCCCAGCGGACACACAGGCACACCCCCCTGCACGAGCGCCCGCAGCAGCTGGGGACAAAGGAGCCCGCGGAGGAGCCGGGACTGGAGGGGGTGCGATCGCAACGCAGACACTCACCTGGCCGCGTGTCCTAAGCCACCTGCCACCCACGGCAGCAGCAAGGCAAGCCCCAGAGCCCAGGGCGGCGGCATCTCGGCTCGGGTCACCTTCGGCCGCCTCCTCCCGCTGCCCTCGGGAAGGCGCCGCGGGGCGAATCCCGGGTGCTGAGCTGTCTTCTGCGGCTCTCCCCAGCGGCGCGGTGCCTCGACTTCTCCCAGACGCGGTCCCTGCAGGCGGCAAGGCGAGGTCCAGAGCTGAGACGTGGGTGTTGGGGGCTTCGGGAGACGTGGGGGCGCCCGGGAGGGCAGGGCGCAGCGGCTCCTCGGCGGGGAGGGCTCAGCTGGCCGGGTAAGCCAGGGAAGGCGGGGCGGGCTGAGCACATCTGGCTGGGACCCGCCTCCAACGCTACCAGCGCACCCTCCCCGCGCTCGGCTCTCCCAGAAACTTTTGACCCCCCCAACCCCAGGCTTAGTCCATCTCACTCCTGAGAGAGCCGCCGCCCAGCACATCTCTCTCAGGTGGGACCCATTTCTGCGCTCCACGCGTCTGCTAGCCAGCCACAGACGTTTAGAAGGTTCTTTGCGAACGGCACTTGGGTCTTACCTGTGTTTCTATTTCCCTGCCCTGCTGGGGTTTCTTTTGCAGCATGACAATCTCAGGCTGCTGGAGCAGGCAGGGCACTAGACTGTGCAACGCTGCCTTTGAGAAACACCCTCCCCCCGCCCCCCAGGCACATTTGCAACCGTTCACTCATGTAGGACCACAACGATGCGGGAATATAGTCACAATCACCGAACAACGTTTGGAAAATCCCCAGGTAGCACATACAAGATTGGTTCCAATAGACCCTTCCCTATAGGTTCAATGTGCGGTGAACCATCACAGCTTGTGGAATTTCAGTCTAGACATTCACACAGGGGGAATTAACACAACTGCCGTTGCCCCTGTTGTTAAGGAAATCCTGACTTTCATGAGTCAGTATGGAAACTCAAGGCAGAAATGGGAATGATGTGAGTTTGAACACTTGTTAGAGTACTTAGACATTTGCCCTGGCAACTTGTTACGATAGAATGAATGATTGGTTTCTCCTTCACCCTCTCCCCACATCCACACCCTTTGGCTTCCCAGCGCACGAATTTGTGGCCTCACACTCTGGATTTGGAGGTGGCTGTGTGACTTGCATTGACGGATGGCATAGGGCAGCAGCTAGCAAAGTTGCCTATGCTGGAGACATCCGAGTCTCTACCAGGGACATAAGAAGACCTTGTCCCAGCAAGTCTTGCAATATAAGGAGAAGGAAGAACTGCTGGGCACAGAATCACCTGGTTGAGTCTAGTGTGTATTGGTCAGCTGCAGACATGTGAATGAGCTCAGACAAAATCAGCAGTTGAGGGTCAAGCAGACTTAATTGAGTCTTACTCAGCAATAACTCCCGCATGCCTGTGACCTGGTATTTGCAATAACATGAAGGATATGGAGAAAGAGGAAGTTTGTATTGATTATGAGCTCAAGTCACACTTATATAACGGGAATACACCTTAATTCTAGCCAATTACATATGAGAAGTGGAGGTGGGAAAGATCCCCGCTCTAGATGTGCCATTCATACCAGACATAGCTATGTTTAGATAGATTTTCTCTTTTAGCAATTGAAAGCATCCCAACACATTCAGTATTTTTGATTAGAAAACAGGTGATTGAGCTGTCCATTACCAATAGCAACAGGCATTATGGGCAAACACTTTTCATGCTGTATCTGACTGAACACCCACAACTTTGAGTAGGGGATCATTAGCTCCACCATGTTTAAAGTGTCAAGAATCTAAGAGGCAGAGGGACTAAGTGCCTTGCTAAAGATCACACCACTGACAAATGTAGAACTGGATTTAGAATTCAAGACCCTTCTCCCCTGGACTCTGTTGCTGTTATAGAAATCCCTTTTCTCATCTTCTTACTCTTTCATGGCTTCAGCCTCATGAATTAAAAAAATAATGTCACTAGAACTTATTGTACTCTTCCCACAATAACTAGTTCCATTTACTGAACATGTTAAACTTGAAATAATATGAGGTATAAACTGCAGTTATATGTAGTACTGTAGCATTGTTCTCCTGTTGTTCATTGATTTGCTCAAACGGGCACCAGTAACATCTCCATCGTGAGACTTGTTGTTACTGTTTTTGGCATAGCGAATACACCACAGGCTCTTCTGTGGGGGCGGGATACTCTCGGTAGCTTGCCAGGCTCTCCGAGAGGGACGGAGGAATAAAACCCAGGTCAGCCACATGCAAGGCAAACACCCTACCACTGTGCTATCACTCCAGCCATTTACATGTACAAATATTTATACCTGCTAATGGAATGTATCATATGATTTGATGTGGGTTTTTCATAAGCAGACTGTGAGGCAAAGGTTCAGTGGAAGTAGTTTATTCCAGAGGCATAGGAAGCACTGGTAGGAGAGTGAGTTAGGGAAGAAAAGGAAAATAATAGCATGTGGATGTTAGTTATCTTTCAGGTCACTCACAGTTCATACTGTTGGGGATTTCCCTGAGCCAGTATAGAACATGTGTCTCCACATGAATGCACCCAAACAAGGAGGGGGAGCAAGGACATTAATACATTATCTCCATTTCAGTCTCCATTTAGTTACTGGCTGAAGTTTTCTACCAGGGCTCTAGTCTGTGGGTTTTTGCATACTGAGGGCATAGTGGGACAAGGAAAGGACTGAGATCTATAGATACCTACTGGAAGGGCAAGGCCCAGGGGGAGATATGGGAAAGTTTGATTTCCTTTCTAGAAGAGGGATATTGGCTACTACTCAATGACTAGAAATGGAATTGAAAAATTAGAGTTTTGCCCATGCCAATTTTCTCCAAAAATTTGTATTCAAATACTCCATACTCCAAATACTACAGACAACCTATTATTTTTAAAATTTACAATAAATAATGATTAATATAAGCATGACTACATCTATTTTCTTGGCATTGAATTAAAAGAGTCACAATACCAATCCTCATATCATAGATCTGTCATTTTGAAATCTTAATATCAAGAATGGGATATAATTTCTGAATTTTTCTTCTGTAGCTGACTTTTCTAGATTTAAATTTGGTGATAAACACACAACAGGAAGCTCCCAGAGTTCAAATTTTCCTCAGCCAGCTCATCTAATTTTTCTGGAAGGATAGATCTGGACAAAGGCACTTTCAGATGCTATGAAGAATGGACAAGGTACCTGGAAATGATGTATTGCCAGGTGAAATTTTGGCTATGTATTGACACACAGAAGCAGGTGTTTTTAATAAACATACTGGCCCTGCTGACTTTGAAGAGCTATACTCTTAAGGGGGCCATACTGCATTTGACAAAGGAGAAACAGTCTTTGATCAGAATCCCATAAAATCATCACACCTTTTACAGGGCTACATTTGCCCCCAATCTTTTTCCACTTAGCCCCCTACATGGAACAGGTGTTGAGGGATATTTTGTGCATTCTGAATAGAGACACATAAAATGTTGAACATAATGTGCCTGGTGCTGAGATTCCAAAATGATATTAAATAGCAGCACCAGAAGCAAAGCACTGTCGGATGAAAGAGCTGTGTGGGCGAGTGTCTAAGTCAGAAAGAAGTTTCAAACTTTAATGCCAATGCATATTACCTGGGAGGTTTTTCTTAAAATGAAGATTCTGATTATGTGTCTGTGGAGATAGGCCTGATCTCAATTAGTAGCAGGACCCCAAGGGATGTGCTTACTATTTTTTTTGAGAACCACTAAGGGTCTAGGTCTTAGGTCTTGAGAACTGATCAGAAGTTCTCAAGTTCAACAGCGAACTAAGATCATCTGGGAAGCTTTAAGGGGACTGATTCCTGGGCCCCCACCTCCAGAGATTCAAATGTCTGCACTATGGCCCAGGCAGGCATGGAGACACTTAGAAACTTCTTGGGTGTTCCAATGGAGAGGCAAGACTGAGAAGAATGGATCTGAACCAACTCTGACATTTTACAGATGGGAAACACCAAGTTCCAACTTTGACCAAAGTCACACAGAAAAAGAATTCATGTCTCCGTGCTTCCATCACAGTGCTTCCACGCAAATGTCTTGACATTTCCTTGAATACCATTCCAACTTTAGAGAAAAATGGCGTCTCTAATTTCTCAGTCTTCTACATCAATTGAAGTCCAGTGACACATTCTAGGAATTATTCTTCTTGTTCTATGAAAAGATTTAATGAAGTGTAAGAGTTTCAAACTGATGCTGCTAAAATCTGCAAGAGAAGGTTTCTGGAGATATTGAGGTTTGTAATGTTTTTCTTCATGATATACCTGTCAAGGACACCCATCTTTGAAATTCTATGGCAGAAGAAAAATATCAAACTCTTTCCCCTCTCCCCATTCTCTATATTCTCTATCCCTTGCTCAAACGTTTTTGGAATGTGCATAGAGCTGGTTATGTACTGGCATTGGGGACTGCATGGTGGAAATATGCACACTGATAGTAGCACTGTAGCACTGTTCCCCGTTGTGCATCCATTTGCTTGAGCGGGCACCAGTAACGTCTCCATTGTGAGACTTGTTACTGTTTTTGGCATATCGAATATGCCACAGGGAGCTTTCCAGGCTCTGCTGTGTGGGAGGGATACTCTCGGTAGCTTGCTGGGCTCTCCAAGAGGGACAGAGGAATCGAACCCGGGTCAGCTGCATGCAAGACAAACGCCCTACCCACTGTGCTATCACTCCAGCCCACTGATAGTACTTCATTAAATTTTCTCCCCGGTATTGATTCAGTAAGATGACTTAGGATCTTTTAGATGTAGTGACAACATGAGCAAAAATAGAATACAAAACTGTCAGGACTTTATATTTTGAGGGTGCCTTCCAATCACCCTCGAAAAAATATTTGTCCCCTTCTCTGCAATGAACCCTATTGGACAGGGGTTGTCTTTAGACATTTCTCCTCTCCTCGCAACTTTCAAATATGCAGTTTAGTCAAGTTATCTGCAATCACCATGTCCAGATCTTGTTTATTTAATAACTGCAAGTTTGTCTTTTTCTCTTTTAACCTCACTTTTGCTTTTTTCCTCTGGTCCCAACAGATGCATATTGTTAAAGAAGACCAGATGTTCT